TTTGGCATGGCAGAATGCCAGCAAAGAGCGCTGGCTGCATTTATAATCTCTAAAAGACATCTCAGTTCATCGCAATCTCACAAATCTCTGTTATAACACAATAAATATATGCATAATTAATCTTTCATAATGTCTACAATTCGTGTGTTATAATGAGAGGATTCGTGAGCACGCACATTTCAGCACTGCATTGCTCAACGCCGCAAACACGTTTTATAGCCTAAATAGAAACTCTGCATAGGTTTGCACCTGTTAATCGTTTATATTTTATTTTAGTTCATGTTGCTTTTGTGCAATAGATGAATAACAATTTATTTGTTTTAGATATTTTATGTTTAGATATTTCTATTTTGCGGGAGTCCCGTGAATCATTTTATTCTCCCGCATTCCGCACACACACGTCTACCCGCCCGCAGCAGCACTCGCCCATCTTGTCCCGCGCTGCACTCTGTTGCGTCGGGTCTCGCGGGAGTGCATGTCTCTAATCCACTGGCACTGGACTCGACAGTGCGTGTGCTACATCCTTTTTACAATCTCTAGATTAGAAAACACTGCATTCTGTCAGCAATGTAACGCGGCAGTAACGTATAGAGACCTCGGCTTGTAACTATAATTACTATTTTGAAAATTATAACGCGTTAAATGACTCCGTTACTAAAAAAGTAATCAAATGACAATAACGCTTTACTAAGTAATGCGTTACTGCCCAACACTGGTCCTGGAGGGCCAGTGTCCTGCAGAGTTTAGCTCCAACCCTAATTAAACACACCTGAACCAGCTCACAAGGTCTTACTAGGCATACTTGAAACTTCCAGGCAGGTGTGTTGAGGTAAATTGGAGCTAAACTCTGCAGGAAACTGGCCCTCCAGGTCCAAGTTTGGAGACCCCTGGTCTAACATAACTGCTGCTTGTAATTTAATTAGGATCATTTTGGTCTGCACATCAGCTCATCATCTTCTCTGATAATATATTTATTTTGCTGTGCAACATAATATATGACAGGAACAGTCTGTAGAGCTGCCTGTTTCTAAATGAAAGTGAGGCACACATGTGATCATTATGTTTCCATCTAAAATTGTAAATTTAACTTTTATGAAAAACTGGAATATTGCATAAATAATTTGCAAATAAAGCACCGTTTCCATCTCACGTGTTCAAGAGAACAAAATTGTCACTTCCTGGGAAGCTGCTGCAAAATGTCTATAATAAAAATAAAAACGAAAAATGTTATCTTGTGTTCCTAGGCAGATGCCTGATGTTTGGGAACAAATCTTGTGAGATCTTGGGAGTTCTGGGAGGTAATTTAAAACGAATTGTTTTGATCTTTGGCTCAGGCCTTTCAGAATGACTCAAACAACATTTGTGATGGTGTGCAATGAGATCAGTCCACTGGTTAGTCCAGTTATCCAATCACATGATCTGTTGAGGCAAAGAGGTTTTTGTTGCACATCAAAAAATTCATTCAGCCATTTATTCAGCCATTTTGACATTGTGGCTTAGTTTAGAGGCAAAGTTGCAGAAATCAATTTTAATTGTTTAATTTTAATTAATTCTATATTACGGTGACCTAATTATTTATGTTTTTGTCTTCTTTGTTCAGTTTCTACAAAAAAATAAAAATTAGTAAAATTAGGGCACATCCATGAAACTTTTTGTAATATGATATATATCATGCTGGTTGTGACAAGCAGATGCACACACACAAACAATAATAGATACATAATAATAATAATCTTAAAATAAATATTGTAAATACCATTATGATGCTATTAGCTGAAATGTGCTGAATTTATTATGTATTCATTCAGCCTAACAGTCCTTTAATGGATTTGAATTCTAGAAATGTGAGTATTTGTGTGTTATTTATATGCCAGGTTAAATAGAAGGGTCTTTAATCTAGATTTACGACTTGAGATGTAGTCTGTAAGTGTCAAAGTGCTTACACAAGCATCTCTTTTTTAACATGAAATATTTGGGGAAAAAAATCTTATCACACTCAGATGCAGATGTTTCCATATAATTTATTAGTTTCTGTGTATAACCGATTGTGGTTTTGATGTGGTTCAGTTTCAAAGAGAAACATTAATTTGAGTTTTTGTACAGCTTCACACAGACTTTGTATCACTGGGCTCTAACTCTTAGAGCACAATAATAAAGAGCGGAATCTGAAAGAGTTACACTGTCAATAGTGAGTTCAGTGGATGTTTCTGATGTAGTCGACTGAAAGCGAGGATCAGCTGGGTTCCCAGTACCACTCAATGAACGAGCCTCTTTCCACATTAAATACTGAGGTTCTCTATTAGGATACTGTCTGTATCCTGTATACTGTCTGCCAGTAAAGTGTAACATACAGTGGTGTGAAAAAGTGTCGGCCCCCTTCCTGATTTCTTATTTTCATGCAAAAAAATAAGAAATCAGGAAGGGGGCCAACACTTTTTCACACCACTGTATCTGCTGCTTGTATCATATGAGCAGCTCAATCTCACAGACTCTCCTTCTGTACTGATGACATTTACACCCTTATTTGGCCCAATCTAGTCTGCAGTCATTGCACCTGCAAACATGAAAATAAATATTTGCTTACAGTTTAAAAATCTCATAGGTTAAATTCAGTCACATTACACTATCTGTTTTCCTTAGCACTGGCATCAAAGAGTATTTTACCTGAAGTCATGATTAAAATCAGAACCAAGTGTCTGTCCATGTTTACTAAGTCAGATCAGTTCTGTTAATGCTCTTCTATTCTCTGGGTTGTGATGATTTTGATGCTCTGATTTTCTGCATTTGCTCAGGACCTGAATCATACAGTCACTCAGGAACTTACTGCTCTCTGTTGTTGATGATGATGATGGTGTTTGGCAGTTTACAATTGATCAAAAAACAACAATATTATATAGAGATGAAACAAATATTTGAAGAGTAGCAAATAACCGCACCTCAGTACAATCTCAGTACAATTGTAAAGATTGATAGAAACGCATCCAGACTCTTTTTTTTTTGTATAGACAATAAATGAATGGCAGAGGTAAGAGATAGAGGTAGATTGTTTTATTTTATTTTCATTTCTTTTATTTTTTCTTAACTAAAAGCTGGTAGCAGTTACAGTGTGTACAGTGTACCTTTCTCTTTCACACTGGGCTCGTTTGCTGAGGTTCGAACCCGAGTGCGATTGTTCCCGACAGCCCCCGCAGCGTTGGTCTGGTTTCACACTCTCTTGATTCTATCGAACCCCGGTGCATTTGCGGTCATCTTACGTCATCACAAACATGCACAACGTATGATAGAAAACAGAACGTGGGAATATATAATGTGTTTTTTAATTAATTTGGTGCTATTATGCGCAGCAGAGTGAATGACATATGGGTTTACTGTATGTGCGTCATCGCATGTAGACGGCTAATTTGAGGAGACAGCAGATTTCCATTAATTTGCCACTCTGATTGCAGTTGCTATACGCGAATACACTGCAGGCTCACTGTCGCTCGAATCCAAGGTAGATCAGCAACACTATCATCACTTAGCCTATGTGTTTTATTGGGAGATTATCAGCAGGTATAATCTGTGTATATGACACAGAATGAATTTAGGTTTGCAGTTTATTTTTGGTGGTACTAAAACAGTTGGCACAGCTGTACAACTAACAACAGACACCAAAAGTGACAGGAATATGGTTAAAACGTCCTCTATAATAGTATGTATAATGTAACATACAGTTGAGTCAAGTGGTCAGTGGGTCATAGTAGAATTTCAGGATAATCCAAACTGATTAATACTTTATCAGTAACTTATCAGTGGGAAATAAACTGCATTTAGTGTATAAAAAAACAGAATCTGAATCTTTTTCATATATTCGTCACTGAATTTGGGGGGAAAAATTGGTTCCCTTTCGAATGGGAACTCCACGCTGCGTGCCCTAGAGGGCACTATGGGTAATGCCTCTGGCATGACCGGTGTCTGAAGCATGAGTCTGAACATGACAATGAACTTGACATTGGCAGGCAACAGCCAATGACGTCACAACTGGTGTGGCCGAGAGTATAAAAGGGCATGCGTTCATTAATAAAATATTCCGAGTCTCCCGACGTGTACAAGTGTGCATTATCTGGAATGTTTTTGTTAGAAAGTCTTATAGAATCGAGTGGCTTGGATCATGCATTGCCAAAATACAAAACAAAATAATGTCGGGGGGAAACTGTGAGCAGACGGTAGATTCCCTTTCTCTCTCTTTCCTCCGACTGTGTGCAAAGGTATTGATGTGTTTGCAAGCTATTATTCATGATTCTTTAAATTGCATATATTATTATAATATTCAGCTTAATATCCAGACTTTGTTTCACTTTTTTGGTTGTTTGGCAGCATTTAATTCTGAAGAATTGAATGATGAATAGTATTTTGGCTATAGAGAAGTTTCGATTTCTATATTAAATTAGCAGAGGGATTGGAGCTCCGTGCCAGAGCTCCGCTAGGACAACATCTGTGAGTTGTAGGCTCTATTATGTGAGCCTCCTTACAGGATGTCCTGAGCGTGAGGCATAGTTAGGCCTCCTCTCATTTGAGAGTGATCATGCTGAGGCCTCCGCTCCTAGAGCTCGGCCATCTCCTGCCGAGCGTCGTCAAGCCTCCTCTCGCTACAGAGAGTTATCTTCATTGAGCCCTCTGCTCAACAGAGCTCTGCTAGGACAGCATCTGTGAGATGTAGGCTCTATGTGAGCCTCCTTACAGGAAGTCCTGAGTGTGGGGCTTAGTTAGGCCTCCTCTCATTTGAGAGTCTCATGTGGAGGCCTCCAATCCTAGAGCTCGGTCATCTACTGCGAGTGTCATCAGGCCTACTCTTGCTACAGAGTTATCTTCATTGAGGCCTCTGTTTGCCAGAGCTCCGCTAGGTCAGCATCTGTTAGTTGTAGGCTCTATGTGAGCCTCTTTACAATATGTTCTGAGCGCAGTACCGCTCCCTATACGCAGAGTACGCAGTTTGCGTAGGGCACCAACTCCCAGGGGGCAGCATCCCAGTTGCGCAAAAAAAAAAAAAAAAACTTCCGTTCTGTATTAACATATACATAAATAAAAATCTAAACATTAACACATATATTATATATAAATAATTATAAAAAATGCATTTTATGATGAACGCAGTATAGGCAGTATAAGCACACGTGATGCGCCATTCTGGATCTGCGCCCGCGCCCACGCTCGCTCTCACCTCATGTTTGCGGCTGAATACAAATGATCATAATTAATGGACAACTAGGCTATATCAGGGAAAAGACAACAGTGCAGTCGGGCGCAGAGAAAAGAAAAGTAAAAAAGCCCAAGATGAAGCCCGTGCATCACTTTCAGGTAGCTAACGTAACGTTCATAATCCTGTGAAACTTTTTTGACTGTTGACGTTAGTAACGTGTTTTAATGTCGGTAATAATTTCACCACTACCAACAACGCATCTGACTTAATATTCTAGTTTCCACTACTTAAAATGTATTATTGTCATGAATCCGGTCCATGGTCTTCCGTCTGCTCGCCACCAGAGGTTGCCTTCTGATTACATTGACTCTCACACCTCACAAACTGTTGCACGTCACCCTGGACTACATTTCCCATGCTCCATTGCACTGATTGGACTCACCTGCAGCCCATCACACACACACCATATAACAACCACTCAAATCCTTCTCTAATCCTGATAATTGCTGTTGTTACACTTACAGGACGATCAAATCCTTGTTTAATATTGACCAAACATTTAATTCAAATGTCCACCTAATTTTTTAAATTTTTGGCCGCCTTTTTGCGATAGAAATGCTACAGCCTCTTTAATGTCTTCAACAAAAACATGTGGACATCACAACCAGGGTGCGAACTACGGGGGAGCTAGGGGGAGCTCGGCTCCCCTTAATAAGACTCCTCTTGCTGAATGTTGAAGTTGATGAGAGTTATCTTCATTGAGGCCTCCACTTGCCAGAACTTATCCAGGACACCATCTGTGAGTTGTAGGCTCTTTGTGAGCGTCCTTACAGGATGTCCTGAGCGTGGGGCATAGTTAGGCCTCCTCTCATTTGATAGTCATGCTGAGGCCTCCGCTCCTACAGCTCAGCTAGGTATTGGCTAGGAAGTATGGAGTGTTGCTAAGCCGCCTCTCATTTGAGAGATGTTGTATTTAGGCCTCCACTCTGCAGAGCTTCATGGGCCAGTTGGCTTTGATTGTTAGGCTCTCTGTAAGCCTTCTTGCATGCTGGCCTCAATAAGAACATAGTTAGACTTCCTCTCTACTGTTGAGGCCTCTATTCTTGAAAAGCTCCAGTCTATGATCGCATCTATGATCGCATTACTGGTGCAGGGGTGAGGACCATTATTAGCTCAGCCAATAATTCACTCATCTCTTCAGCACGGTGGCATGGGTATACCGTTCCCCATAGCACCCTCTAGGGGACGCAGTGTGGAGTTCCCATTCGAAAGGGAATGTCTCAGCTTACGCATGTAACCATGGTTCCCTGAGAAGGGGAACGACGAGACACTGCGTCCCTTTGCCATGCTTCAGGATTTCCTGCACATCTCCTTCAGACAAGAAGTGGATAACGTACTTTACAAGTTACTCTCAGCCGCACCAGTTGTGACATCATAGGCTGCCGCCTGCCAATGTCAAGTTCATTGTCATGTTTAGACTCATGTTTCAGACACCGGTCATGCCAGAGGCATTCCCCAAACGTCTCGTTACCCTTCTCAGGGAACCATGGTTACATGCATAACCTGAGACGATTTTTTTGAAATGGGTTTAAACTTTGAAACTTTTTTGAAAAAATAAAAAAATACAGATGAGAGGTGATGTGAATCCTGGTCATTTCAATTTTGTGGAAATATGGGAGGTTTATGCAGATCTGTGGACACAGATTTCAAGTGTGTTTGGTTATTTTATCCTCTGTAATGTGTCTTCCTGGGCTTTTGTGTGAGAATTGAGTGTGTTTCAGTCACTGTGGGTTGCAGAGCACAGTAGTACACAGCAGAGTCAGACACACGCAGATTCTTGATCATCAGTGGAACTGTTCTTGATGTTGAATCCAGTGTTGAAGAAAATCTCTCTTTAAATTCATCCTCAGTAGTTCCTTTACCAACTGTAAATTCCCTCAGAATGAATGTTGGTGATCTATTTTGTAGTCATTTGTACCAGAAGAGATATGCATTATTATAACTGCTGGTAGAGTAATTGCACAGTAAAGTAATTTGAGCTGCTTCATTGGCAGTCATTTCTCTTGAAGGTTGTTCAACTTTGTCTTGTCCCCAGCACACTGGAAAATAGATTTAGCCATTATTCATGTGCTTATATTGAGTATCTCACACAGATAGAAATGATGAAATAATGTTCTTACCAAACTCATGAACTGTGAAAAAAATAGTAATAATCAACCATTTTGCCATTGTTGCTGTAAGTTAAAAAGGAGAACGTTTTAACAGAATTTTCCAGAAGTGTTTTATTCTTACTGCATAGTCTCTGTATCTTTTTGTAGTTTCAGATTTTTCACAAGGTTCAGCCTTATGTAAGAATTTGAGGAATGATGCCTCCTTGTGGTGAGTTTGAAAGTTTTGCTGAGCTGAACAAATAAGGGATAATGCACATCCAGATGATTATCAAAGAATAAGCACCCCAATGTGAAGCGCCGCTTATTACACGGCTACTTACTCTTTAGGAGAATTGTGATGTACTGTAAGGAAATAGGGAAGTATTCTACTATATTTTGTTTCCTTTTAATTTCCCTTTCACTAACCACACACAGGTGTTTCCACAAGTTTAATTATATTGTGTGAATTATAGATTTTTGGTTTGATCTTGCTTGCCATCAAAGTGAAAAATGAATTTGAGTTTTTGTACGGCTTCACATAGACTTTGTATCACTGGGCTCCAACTCTTAGAGCACAATAATAGAGAGCTGAATCTGACAGAGTTATATCTTTAATAGTAAGTTCAGTGGATGTTTGTGATGTAGTTAAATGAAACCTTCCACTACTTCCACCACTTGATTGTGAAGAATATATTAAATATTGAAGCTCTTCATTAGGATACTGTCTGTACCAATACAAATATGCATAACCGCTGCTTGTATATGAGCAGCCGAGGGTCACAGTCTCATCTTCCTTTATGACAACAGCATCTTTATTTGGCCTAATCTGGTCTGCAGTCATCACACCTAAATCAAACAAATAAAAATGATTTGTCATTTAAGTTACACAAAATTATCTCAAATTATCTCATTAATACCACTGTAATAAAAATAAAAAGAGTCCTATTGTACCTGAAGTCAGAATTAAAATGAGAAGCAGGTGTTTTTCCATGTTGACTAGGTCAGATCAGGTGTGTGTTAATGTTCTCTGTGCTCTGAGCTGTAGATCTGTGTTACTGTGAGTCTCTGCAGTTTCACAATCAAACACACTGGTACTTCCTGCTTTCTGTGTGATGATGCCATCTACCGCTTCTCATGTTTTTGCATTGGTTAGAGGAAAACTTTTGCAACTGCAGAAAAGTATAATTTTTTTTAAGCAGATGATTTTGAAGAAAAATACAAAACACAAACGATTAATTAACCAATAATATTAACAGTGCTATTATACAATTTTTTTTTTATATGACCAAAATAATATTGATCTAGAGCAGAGGTGTTTGAGCAGAATTGAACAGTGTATGTATAATAATGATAGTTACCAACGTCAATGTCACAAATATGATTAGTGACCTGAAAAATATTTCTGAATCGTAAGCGTTTTATTTATTTAGTCTCATAAATCTATTTGTTTTAAATGTTTCAACAAAGTGTAAATACTTAGTTTGTTTTCCAGATTTAAAATAGATTTTGAATCCCATAATCAGGTCCTCACTGCATACGCTTACGTGATAGCTTAATAAAGAGCTGATCTTCAGGTGAATTGATTTTTGTGATGCTTTGAGGTTCATGAGATTGATTCAAGTTTAGAAGTTCATTCCAGGTACATTGAGTGTGAAAATTGTTGTTAGATGTTGTACTTTTCTGTGATTCTACAGCAAAATGTGGAGTTTTGAACAATTATCTATAGTGAAAAATGTTCTTACCATGGGACATAATTAGATTCTGCTGTGCATTTGCATTTGCATCTTCATCTACTTTGATTTGTTTCATCAGACTTCTCTTGGCCAAAAAAAGTTAAGAATGCTTTAAGTAAATACATTCATTAAAGTTCTTTGAAAGACCCTTCCAATTCTAGAAATCATTCACCCAAAAATTACAATTCTACCAACAATTCTACCATTATTTATTCATTAGTTTATAATAGTAATGTCTTATTTTTACAGTATTATGGTATCATATTCCCTAGAATTAATTTGATTTAATAGATTTTGGCAGTGTCTGAGATTTTTGCATATTGAATACTGACTGTTGTTGCCCCAGAAGGATCCTTATGTCCTCAAACACACACACATAATCAGTTTTATAATCCAAGATTATACTTTTCATACCACCAAAGTCTATGTAACCTAATTATTTTTTTGTTCAGTTTCTACAAAGTCTCAGACACACTCAGACACAGATGTTTTCACATAATTTATTAATTTCTGTGTATAACAGATTGTGGTTTGGATGTGGTTCAGTTTCAAAGAGAAAAATGAATTTGCATCACTTGGCTCCAACTCTTAGAGCACAATACTAGAGAACTGAATCTGACAGGGTTACACTAGTAATGGTGAGTTCAGTGGATGTTTCTGATGTAGTCGACTCAAAGCGAGGATTTGCAGGGGTCTGCTCCATAAACGAGCCTCTTTCCACATTAAATACTGAGGTTCTCTATTGAGATACTGTCTGTACCAATAAATGACATATCTGCTGCTTGTATCATATGAGCAACTCAATCTCACAGACTCTTCTTCTGTACTGATGACATTTACACCCTTATTTGGCCAAATCTGGTCTGCAGCCATTGCACCTGCAAACATGAAAATAAATATTTGCTTACATTTTAAAACACATGTGGGTTGAATTCAGTCATATTACACTATCTATTTTCCTTAGCACTGGCTATTTTACCTGAAGTCATGATGTCAATAAGCCAACCGTCTGTCCATGTTTACTAAGTTAGATCTGTTCTATTGATGCTCTTATATTCTCTGGGTTGTGATGATTTTGATGCTCTGAGTTTCTGCATTTGCTCAGGAACTGATTCATACAGTCACTCAGGGAAAGAAAACAATATAATAAAGGAACAAAACCAAATATTTGAAGAGTAGAAAATAGTTTCACCAAGATCAATTGTGAATATTGATAGAACCTCAACCAGACTCATTTTGTTATTATTGTTGTTATTGTATAGACAATGAAAAAGGTAGAGCAACAGATCTGAAAAGGAGATATCTGTTAATTATTAAGTAGTAAAAGAGGAGCAAATTCTGTAATGAGGCTTGATAATATGAATATATGGTGCATGTCGCCATCTAATGGTTACCAAAAAGCATTACAAATGAAGTTTAATTTTTAAAGTAGGAAAAAAAGAAAATCGACATTCTCTCCGTAATCTATTTATAATACAGGTAGATTTATGAAAAAAAATCACACGTGTCAGGTTTTTGTACAGTGTTCTTGTGTTTCCTGTGACAGGTCCTCACTGCATACGCTTACGTGATAGCTTAATAAAGAGCTGATCTTCAGGTGAATTGATTTTTGTGATGCTTTGAGGTTCATGAGATTGATTCAAGTTTAGAAGTTCATTCCAGGTACATTGAGTGTGAAAATTGTTGTTAGATGTTGTACTTTTCTGTGATTCTACAGCAAAATGTGGAGTTTTGAACAATTATCTATAGTGAAAAATGTTCTTACCATGGGACATAATTAGATTCTGCTGTGCATTTGCATTTGCATCTTCATCTACTTTGATTTGTTTCATCAGACTTCTCTTGGCCAAAAAAAGTTAAGAATGCTTTAAGTAAATACATTCATTAAAGTTCTTTGAAAGACCCTTCCAATTCTAGAAATCATTCACCCAAAAATTACAATTCTACCAACAATTCTACCATTATTTATTCATTAGTTTATAATAGTAATGTCTTATTTTTACAGTATTATGGTATCATATTCCCTAGAATTAATTTGATTTAATAGATTTTGGCAGTGTCTGAGATTTTTGCATATTGAATACTGACTGTTGTTGCCCCAGAAGGATCCTTATGTCCTCAAACACACACACATAATCAGTTTTATAATCCAAGATTATACTTTTCATACCACCAAAGTCTATGTAACCTAATTATTTTTTTGTTCAGTTTCTACAAAGTCTCAGACACACTCAGACACAGATGTTTTCACATAATTTATTAATTTCTGTGTATAACAGATTGTGGTTTGGATGTGGTTCAGTTTCAAAGAGAAAAATGAATTTGCATCACTTGGCTCCAACTCTTAGAGCACAATACTAGAGAACTGAATCTGACAGGGTTACACTAGTAATGGTGAGTTCAGTGGATGTTTCTGATGTAGTCGACTCAAAGCGAGGATTTGCAGGGGTCTGCTCCATAAACGAGCCTCTTTCCACATTAAATACTGAGGTTCTCTATTGAGATACTGTCTGTACCAATAAATGACATATCTGCTGCTTGTATCATATGAGCAACTCAATCTCACAGACTCTTCTTCTGTACTGATGACATTTACACCCTTATTTGGCCAAATCTGGTCTGCAGCCATTGCACCTGCAAACATGAAAATAAATATTTGCTTACATTTTAAAACACATGTGGGTTGAATTCAGTCATATTACACTATCTATTTTCCTTAGCACTGGCTATTTTACCTGAAGTCATGATGTCAATAAGCCAACCGTCTGTCCATGTTTACTAAGTTAGATCTGTTCTATTGATGCTCTTATATTCTCTGGGTTGTGATGATTTTGATGCTCTGAGTTTCTGCATTTGCTCAGGAACTGATTCATACAGTCACTCAGGGAAAGAAAACAATATAATAAAGGAACAAAACCAAATATTTGAAGAGTAGAAAATAGTTTCACCAAGATCAATTGTGAATATTGATAGAACCTCAACCAGACTCATTTTGTTATTATTGTTGTTATTGTATAGACAATGAAAAAGGTAGAGCAACAGATCTGAAAAGGAGATATCTGTTAATTATTAAGTAGTAAAAGAGGAGCAAATTCTGTAATGAGGCTTGATAATATGAATATATGGTGCATGTCGCCATCTAATGGTTACCAAAAAGCATTACAAATGAAGTTTAATTTTTAAAGTAGGAAAAAAAGAAAATCGACATTCTCTCCGTAATCTATTTATAATACAGGTAGATTTATGAAAAAAAATCACACGTGTCAGGTTTTTGTACAGTGTTCTTGTGTTTCCTGTGACTGTGGGCCTCAGAGCACAGTAGTACAGAGCAGAGTCTGATACAGCA